CCCGTCCCCGCCCTTTGCTTTCTTTACGGCGACTGTCTCATTTAAGTCTTGAAAGTTCATAATGAATCTAAACTCAGGATTCTTAACCCCTTAACTACGGCAAAGTGAATTATCTTTTTTCTGATGGCGGTTTATTTTCATTTAGGTCGGGGGTAAAGCGCGGCGTCGCGAAGTTTCTCACCCGTTGGCGCGACAAAGGGTTCCGGGGAAAGGATTTTAACCGTTTTATCTGGCAGAAATATTCGATCCAGAATTTTTAAGAACGCAATTAGCCCCGGGTAGCGATAATCCGCGAAAGTCTGCGTGGGATTCACGCGGGGGACATACATAATAGGATCGTAACTCGCATTATTAGGCTGTCCAAGGAAATTCGGCGTATTTTTTAACTTTAATTTGTCGAGTGATAACAAAATGGGATTTTAAACACGATGATGTATGATCTGTCGTCGTTATGAAAGCCATTTCTCCACAATATCGTGCCGGGTCTTTATGGGCGAAAAACATCCACCTTTAATATCGTATGATATATGAATAAGATACCCTTCGAGTATAATATACAATATTAGTTAAAATATAATTAATGAAGGTGGGAACGCAAAGAACAATTATGAATTATAGTTTTGGAAGAGTCCAGTCTTCTTCGCGATCATAGTTTACGTTGTATGAAGAGAAATTGTTACGGTGAAACAAACTTGCGAATTAGTCAGAAAATAAAAATGTTTCGGTTTATCCTGCGATAGCAGTGAGATTTGTATTTTGCAGTAATCTCGTTTTAAAAACAAACGGAACGATTAATGAAAACTCAAAGATATGCAGAATATATTTTCGCAATCAACGTGCAAAGGGCTTTTCAACAATATATAAATGCACATTATTTCGACCGAATGTTAAAAAATAACAGCAAACGAAGCGATTAAAATGCGCAACATTTTCTGGATCATCCAACTATATTTGTTTTTAAAAGCTTGCAACCTGTTAATAGGAAAAGTAATATTTATTATATCTTTCACAAATATTATTAGAAATACGTGTTCTATGGTTCCATAAAAAAATAATTGAAATCGAAGTGCTTTGCTTGAGTTCCACGCTTCCTTTTGCAAGTAAACTTTATACACATAAGATTTATTATTTATTTTTCTATTACCCTAGCTAACTAGATGACATCGTCGCGAATTCGAGATCGCGGATCGCGCGACGATCGAGAAGACCGAACGGTGTAACTTTGTTACGAGGAGGCTCGTGATTGGTGGAGGATTATCGCGTCGCGTGGGGGCGGGGGTGGCATTGACGTCGCGTATAGCGTACGGGGGATCACGGCAGCGCTCGAAAGGGCTCGGTGAAACGCAATTTAATGCAATTTCTCGTCTAGTCGGAACTTTTAAAGTTGTTAGCCGGCGGAACCGGTTGAGTGGTCCTTTCTCGTCGATGTCGCGCACGCGTGCAGATTGCCGACGGTAAACGCGGCCGGAAGCGTTTCTGCGCGACGTTCTATTGTTATTTCTGCGTTCGGGGGGTGGGACCAGTCGACGCGACCATAGGCCGCTCTTCGCGGCTCGTGACAAACAGAACGACCCCCAGAAATTTAATATTTCTGACGATATATTCCCGTAATGGAAGATTTGCATTCCAAAAGGAATTTTAATTCGAGTCCTTCCGTACGGATACCGGCGACGAGAATAATAGGAGACGTGTGCAAAACATCCTTTTACCCGTATTTATTATCTCGAGAACCTGAAACCAGAGATCAAGTAGTCGAGGTATAAATATTGAACGCGGAGGTCCGAAAGATTATTTTCAAATAATTCTCGCTCGGGTACAAGATTGTAGAAGGTTCGAGTTAAATCTAACTTCTCCCCGACCGAGTCTCTAACGAAGCTCCAATCCCTTAATCGACTCGAAAATGGAGCCTGGCACCCTGTCAATCGGATACTCGAGCCCCGATATCGATCATTCCACGCGGGAATCGCGGCGTGGATACGACGGGGGTGGTTTTTAATCCGCGTCAGGACGGGGTTGGAAGCCCGTGAAAGAATCTCCGCGGAAGTTTGGCCTCAGGGGCGCGCGAATTGGCCCGACGTTGACCGCGAAGCAGGTATTTTCACTCTCCGAGAGGGTGGTCGAAGAGGACGAGGTGGGCGAGGGTCCAGCGAAAATAACGGTGGCGACCCGTAGTCGTTAAAAGTTGAAGGGATTACCCGTTTCGCGACGGGGGGTTGGAACCGTACGGCCGCGGAGTGAACGTTCGAGGGTCAATTCTAACCGGTCGACGGTTATAAACGTAATTTGTCCGAGCTTGTACAGCTTGTTCGCCCTTCTTATTCCGTCTCTTCGTTCGTTGTTCAGGTCGCAGCCCGGTTTGGAAACGCCCCGCGGGGTAGTAATTTAACTTTATCGGGCGCGGAAGTGCGCGTGCCGTTTCGTCACGTCCGTGTGACGTCCTCCGGAATGGAATTCGACGTTGCAGCCCTCCAACCGGGGGTTGTTAGCGCGTCGTTCGCCGTTAATTGACGAAAAGAAACGAAGTTGACGATGCTCCCGCGAATGAAAAATTGGATTTCGACGACGGAGAGCACCCTCGAAATTTATTGACCCCAACGATTCGAAAGTGTACACGTTTCGCGCCGAGGATTAGGTTCTGTACGTGCCAGAGATTATCGAAAGAAACTGCTTACTATATTATTAATAGGATGTCAAGAATGATTACAGGCGTGTGGTCAGATTACATCAAAGTACATAAAGTAAGCGTAAAAATCATAAGCGATTTCTGTCGACCAAAGTTCGATGCAGAGTACATCACGACTCTTATCTAAGTCTTATCTCCTCGGTTAGGACATATACACTAATATAGATTCCTTACAAATTGTAATTTGATCCCATACGCCATTGGCTGGAGACATGAATCATGGATAGAACTATTGTGTTTCTCAAAAGAGGATATCTGACAACTACTGTGCCCTTGAAGTGTCTTTGATACCCTCTCGGAGAGTTTTATTCGATCGGGATTGTTGATCTTCGCAAACCAGAGGGTTACTCGATCGCAAGGGCCCGACTTTGAACACGCAAGCCTCGAGCACTCGAGGGAATTGCGTGGTGTCACAGCGATCACTCTATAGATACAGGACGTGTGTCAAGGTACGATTCGAACACTGCAGACGTACTAATGCTCGTCTATTTGGCCTCCACGCGTCGATTCAGCTTTGATCCACGAGCGTGTCGCGCCCGCTACGTACAAGGGTAACGCGTACCATGTGCGAGTAATTTAACTTCCCGGCCGTGTGTGCGCGTGTACGGCCCTGCCGGTGACGTCGGCTAAATTAAATTCACGGTCACGCCACTGGTTTACCAACTTCGATTTGTCTTCTTTCCCTCCGTTATTAGGAAGCACGACCCGGGGACGCTTGTCATAATTTTTCCCTACTTAAAGATCCAGGGCGATTTAGCGACTCGGATATTAATTTTTTGATCGAAGCGTTCGAATAATTAAAAAACGAACGATCCAACAAAGAAGGCCATTGTCCCGTTGCATTAATACAAACGATGTTTTAGATCGTGCTAGCACGCGAGCCGAAACAAGTTACATTGCCTACTTACCCCTTGATTCACCGATTAAATCCATTATTACGGTAGCTATTACTTAACGACTATTACATTTCCATATCGCGGTATGAAATATTAAATCCCACTCCGTATACCCAGTCACTCGCGTTCACAGAAAACCACCCCCTGGTTCCCAGGTCACTCGTGCCACCGTGGTTCGGAAAACAGAATTACACGAAGCTGATCTCTCGCTGAGACAAGGACGATTCCTACCCTAAATCCACCCCAATTAGACCCATTCCGACACCCTCGATCTCGCGACGACCCCTCGGACAAAATGTTTGCGCGCACGAATTTACATGCCACCGATAACCGAGAGGATGTCGTTTGGGGGGGTGGCTCCATGCGAGTAGGGTAGATCCGTATCGGCGTAGCGCGGCGATCGCCGACCAGACTAACAAGCAAAGTGTCGGTGTAACATGGCCCGTCGTTCCCTCTCGCTCTGAACCTCTCCGGCAACCCCTTTTCTTAAACGTATGCATGACTCTCGACCGATTCGGCCCTGTTAACATATAAATTGCCGCTTAACGGCGAGACAATCAGTTCCCGGGGAAGCCAGCGAGGTGACGATGGGGTGGTTACAGGGTGGATACCGTAGAGGGGTGGCGAGACACGCGACGGGGTGAAACAGGACGAAGACGGATCGTCGGGACCGGGGACGGGTGGGCGTCAGGCCCTAAACAACGGGACGATCGTCCGAACGACGTTCACCGTCGAGAAATTACAAGGGCGGGGGTTGAAAGGGGGGTCGGGGCGAGATTCGATTCAATTTCCTAAGAAACTCTTTAGCGTTTGAGATACAGCCGGCGAAAGGATGCGCGCGTGAGGATGCACGGTGGGATGAAACGGATACACGGACCAGGGGGGGCGACGAGGGGGCGGACTAACTAAGAGGGGGTAGCGAAAACGAACCGAAAAGAGACGCACCAGCCTCGTGACAGCGACGGGGGTGAAGTGGTAAAAGCGTAATAGGGAGAGACTCGAAAGAGACTGACTGCGAAGAGAAAAGGGAGGAACGAGGACCGGGGGGCGCGAACGGGGGGTGTTGATATCGGGAAGAACGGAGACGGAGAGCAACGGAGGGGCGAGGAGGAACTCGAAGGAAAAGGAAAGAACCGGAGGGGGACCACGGCGATAGAGCGAGCGAGAGGGTGTGACTAACTGACCGAGGGTGCCAGGAGCGCGGGGGAGTAAGGATTCTGTGCGCGCGCGCGTGGCTGGCGCAAACTCTTCGTGCAGCATCCCTCGTCAGTTGCAAGTCAGGAACTGTCGCGTCCGCGTGGCGTGCGAATCGTCGCGGCTTGTGTCACGGTGTGTGCGCGGATTGTACGCCGGGTTAGAGGTTAGAGGATCGAACGGAGCCGTGTGACAGTTGGTACCGACGTTGGGATTTGAACGTGCCGGCGGCCCCCCGGACACAGGGCCCGATGACAGTTGGCGGCGCGTGTCCCTGGACCACGCCGTAGACCGGGACCAACTGGATAACAGAGCCGATCGTCCCCCCCGAGGAACCAACGCGACAGGATGGATAAAGACGTTCGACGGAAGTGCGGGAAAGTGCGACGTGCTCTGTTCCACCTGCTGCTGATAGTGGGGGGTAAGTTCATCGTCCACGATCGTCACGATCGAGTGTGTCGTCGACGATCCTCCAAGTATCTTACAAGTACCCCCACAGTGCGTTAGTAATCCGGAGAACCGGACGAATCCTTCGACGCTTCCGGTTCGTCGTTCCAGACAGAGGATCCGCTGATGCTGGAAGGGACGTAGGATTACCCGCAAACCATCGGAATGGGGGCCGTTTCACGCTGGGCGGGAATCGCGTCGTTACGACTTTTGTCCGCTCCCCAGGGATCCCATTTCGATCCCAACGGCCGTGGTTCCTCGTTCGATCGGACACCTCTGGATCGTTACGCTCTCCGGAGTGTCTCTTCGATTGGCGCACCGACTTCCTGGAGAATATACCCGACTTCCACTCGCGGCGACCTTTCTCGCGGCAATCCCCGGGATCACCCTTTCAATTTTTCCTCCAAGTTCCCTTAATGCTTCCCTCCCCCAACGTTCCGTCGGCGGGTTCGACCGATGGTTCGATCTTTTTGCCAGCAGCTCTCCTCTTTAACGAGTTTCGCAATCTCTTCGACTTCCTGCGTCGACTCTCGGTCCCAGCCGGTCGGACGTACGGCTCGACGATTTGGAAAAGATCCCAGCGATGGAAGAACGATGGTGCACCAACGGTGACCTCTAACCCCGACATTTTTCAATAGTCTTTCTCCGTTTAAACGGATGCCATCCGATCGGGGTTGGCCCCTTTAGGCCCAGATCAGATCCTTTCCTTAATTATCTCTAAAATTTTAGATAGATAGTGATTTTTAATAGATCATTCTAGGGACTCAAACTGATCCCAGAGTGTGATCCCAAAGGTGTACGAAGGTTGTTTCTTTGGTAACATGACGATTGCCATCCCTCTGTAGTTTTATGTCAATGCTCGCTGCCATCCTCTTCACTTCCTTAGGGATCCTTTGTTTAGTTGTCGAGCTACAGTTTTTGAAATTCGATTAGTCGCTGGATCCACGGATTTCTAGTTTGTCGACACGAACCCCTCATGAGTAGGTGTAGGGTGGTTCAGGATCGAGACGACTTTCAAAATTCCAGAGACTATGGCTCGACAACGCGGGGAATTATCTCAAAGGTGGATGAACGTTGTTGCTTTGGTAATCCGACGTGGATCCTTGTCACCATTCTATTATCTTGTTTCATTTAAGTAGTGTCAAGTGACGCTTGTTAGCTATAAGATTCTACGTTTCAGCGCCCGGGGTTCAGTATTAGATCTTACCTAAGACGACGAGCTACATTTTTACCTGCCAAGTGACTCAAATCCTTTGGGGGTGGGTGTAAGGTTTTTTAACATGGAAATTTAGTTCTTTCTTGACTCTGGCAATTAACTATACAATCTTATTATCCTTGTCAGCTTTCAATAGCCTTGCTTTATGTAACAAAATTTTATTTCTAGAAAATTAGAAGGAAATTCCTCCAACACCACCCTTTAAAAATTATCTCTTTTAGCCCCCTTGGTGAAAAGTTCTAGCCATACACAATTTTCCTGTAAAACTTAATTTCTTCCCCTAGTGTCGTGTGCCTTAGACTTTTTCCAGCCTGTCGAGCTATAGTTTCGGGATATTTTCCGATCCGACTCGAATTCTTCAGGCGCAGGGAAGCTTCCTCGAGACCCGAGAACGTTCTCCGCGTGCTTGCACGACGTCCGTACCTGGAAGCAAGACAAATCGAGTCGAATACGCGCCGGAATGCATACGGCACGCTCCATTTTCCAGCGTTCTTTCAGCCGACACCAGATCACAGCGTGTTTCCAAACAGTTCCCCTCCTCAACCACCGTTCCGTCGAGAGTGCTCGCGATATTGAAATCCAGCCTGCCGCTTTACGGGGGCCGCGATCGAAAGTAAATAATATCTTTCCGCGATACACCCCTCCCGACGTAACGCGTGCCCTTGCATCTTTCCTCGAGAATGGATGACTCAGCCTGCGTTGGGGGGATGATGCCGGACGTTATCCTGCGGAATTTCGCGTTTCGTCGAACTTCGTATCCACGATCACGATTCGATGGGAACTCGTTCGATTGCAATATATTTGCATCATGGAAGTTGACAAATTATTTGTAGATCTGATTAACTTCATTCTCGAAAACATTTTCACTCCCACGAGTTCTATTCGGAGTAGCGGCGAGGATCGTTTAAAGACGTTTCGAATCAAAAAGAGAAGCTTGAGGAGCCTCAAGATATTTTATAAAATTGCTGTGGTTGAACGTCTTGCAAATTCTTGGAAGTGTTCCAAGTCTCGAATGACTCGAATATCTTGGACGTCTTCAAAGTTCGGAATATGTAGAAAATGTTGAAGAAACATTTACAAGGCGTAAATAAAATACTATGGACGATGGTGTGTCTTTTCAATGGTGCGGAAACTGATAGAATTTATTGTTGAATAGAAACGATTTAAACCACCTAAAGTACTCATTGGCGAAATTTCATCGATCAAATACCACGTCGATAGCGATGAAGCGTCATTATCGGTATTTGCCACGGGCAATATTTATCAATCAACAGTATCATTTATTAATTAGTTATTCTCCGGTCTTTCAATTCCCTGTTTCGTTCACTTGGCTCACCGACACGTGCTCTAAAAATAATTAATTATTTGCTACCCGGGGCTCATTGAATTTACTTTCTCGATCAATGATTGATATTTATTTATTTATTTCGGTGATTTGTATGCACGAAGTGGCGGGTGCTTCGATGACGTTTCGAAACGACAACCGTATGTTTCCGCGTTCGACGATATTAAACAAATTTATGCATACTTACCCTTTATTTATCGTTGTATATAAACGTTTTGTAAATATTATTGGTCACCTTCGTGTAACAAAAGATACAAAACGTAGAAATGTAACGATAAAAAGAAACAGCGAGGTACAGAAAATCAAATTATGGAGTTTGAAAATTACCCAAGAAAAAAGAAAGAATTTAAATAAAGTTCTTCGGGGCACTTTGGCGTGTAGTTTCCTCTGGACGAGTCAACATGTTCAATTATGAGAATTCAGAGAAAGTTTTTACGACCCCCTCGAGGTGTCACGAACCACAGTTTAAGTTGCTTTGCTCCGAGGTCCAATAAACACACTTATCTTGCCGATTTATGTATAAATTCTCGGTTTCGGAATTTCTGATCCTTCGAAATCCTTCAGAAATTCGGTAATAGAAAGTTCACTGTTTCTTAAAAAACTGTGAGATATTCTACAAACATTCCAAGAAAAAGAAAGAGCTTTTCTGTGCCCATTTTTATTTAAAAAATTTGCCTTTTTTTTATTCTTACACGATTAATGGCGGTAGCTCCAATTACAATTAAAGCTTTTTTTTTCTCTTTTTCTGTTCGTTGCGAGATGACATCGCGAAACGGAGGCTCGAGGAATAATTTAGCGGTTTCTGCGAACCCTTTCATCCCTGATCCTTGCTCCGAACTTTGTTGATTTCAATCTGCTAATTGCGCCCAGCTCGCTTTCCTTATCAGTACGCGAGCGGGAGGTGGGGTGTAGAATGGTTGGTTTGAAAAAAATTCGCGGATAAAATGCGAACGAGCACACAGACAGGGCGAGACGCGTTTTGTTCCCGTCTTCGGTTTCCCCTGAAAGGCTCTTTTCTCTTCTATTCCACCACCCTTCCGATTCCCCTGATCTCTGGTCTTTCTTCTCGGTTTCCCGTTGTTGTTGCCGTTGTTGCCAGCGAAACAATGGACGCGAAAACGAGGAAGACGCGCGGGTCGCGCTGCATCGTACGCGATACACTTATTTCGCTCGCGGGGAACCGATTCTCCCGGCTCTTGTCGCTGGAAAACGACCGTGATCCAAGGAAACGATCACCGGGAACTTTCTATTTGCTCCCGATCGATCAGATTTCTATGCGGTAAAGGGCATTTTATTCTATCGTCAATGGTCGTCAAGCTATTCGAACGTTTTGTCGTATCGATGTTTTCGAAACTCGTAGATACTTCGATACGCGGCTAGGTCTGGATCAGATTATCGGTTATGCATAGATTAAATCTCAATTGGATCTCAGATATGTCATAATTGGAGTTTGGTAGCAGTTAGGTATTGACAGATTATTGACGATGTCTTGGCCAGGTATGGGTTAAGCTGCGGATGGTTATTGGTTAAGTCCAGATCAAGTCTCAATTATATCTCAATTAGCTCTCTAGCATCCTGTTAAGTCTGTCCGGGTAGCAATCAGGTCTTGACAGACCTGCATCAGGGTTGTCTCGGTTAAATCTCGATTCTACCTCTATTAGTCTCAACAATTGCTAATATGTCTGTTAGGCCCACAGTAGAATTTCTATAAAGTCTCAATTATATTTCAATACAGTGAAACAAAGTCTCAATACTCAGATACGTCGGATCTGAATTAAATAGGGGTTGGTTATCGACAAAGTATCGATCCTGTAGCAGTTAGACGCGAGTTCCATCCGAGCGGGGCATTAATTAGAGGTCTCAGAACGCGGTTGGATCAGTCGGATCTTCTACTCCAAGTAACGTTACACAGTGTCGGTGAAGATTCCGTGGAATGGCTGGTGGAACAGAAACTGGCTGGGCTGTTTAAGGGAAACTTGCAGGGTAAATTCTTAATTCGGCCTAGCCAACGTCTCTCTGGATCCACTTCGACGACGATCCAATTCAATTTGCCCCGAATCCACGCGACGTTCTCGCGGTTCGATGATCCTCCCACGAAGCCCGGCGGAGTCGAACGACGCGGAACTTCGTTCGTCGATTGTAAACGCTCCTGATGAAACGATTGTTCCGCGCTCCGACTGATATTTTCGCCGAAAGTTTAGCTTTCGAGCCGGAGTGACGATCTCGAGCATAAACGTGCCGCTTCTGGGAACAGTCGAGCGCTGAGGTTTGCTACTTCTCGGTGACTGTAGGGCGTCGAAGGTTGGGGACAAACTTAGAGTACCGATCAAAGTGAGCTACGAAGTTTCGACAAATTTCGGGGCAAGGAAACGCGCGTTAGAGTTGCTTGGAATAAAATAATTATCGCGTTATT